ATATATATATAATATTATCTTATATATAGAATACATATTATATATAAATATATAAACAAATATATGGTTTTTTTTTTTTGAACTAAAATTAGCGAAAGACATGTTACCGTCTAGCTCTTTTACTTCACGAATGAGCTGAACAGAAGCCGTGGCTCCGGCAGTAAGAAACTCAGAAACCTGCAATCAAGTAGCAGTAAGGTTATGGGCGGATAAAAACGATCCCGTCGCCCTCCTTAACCCCTGCTATGGCTCTGGTCTCCGCCGACATCTGCTTCGCTTTCTTCTGCGTCGCCAAGCGGTTCTCTGAGCACGCCCTTCGCTTAAGGAGCCCATGTCTCCTCCCGCTTTCTCACTCGAGGAGGCTATCTTCCGCCGCTGGGTTGGGTGCCTACAGAGTGACATCGAAGGGGAGTAACCCTCGATTTCCTCTCACTGCACTGACAAGTTCGAGAGCGTTCTCGCTCAGGTTTGCAACTAACGCCTCGACTACGGTGGAGGGCTCCGATGTGCTGACGAAGATTCCTCCGGATGATCGAATTCTTGGTTCTGGAAAGGTGAGAAGATTGTGGATACTTGAGAACCGATTGTAACCATTTAACTCTTATGTTAGGATTTATTGGATTTGATAAATCCTAGTTAACGTAAATTCAGATTGCGGCCAAACACCGCCTAAGTGAAGGTTGAGTTAATCAAGTGCATGATTTCCAAGGGCTTATTTGTTTTCACACGAGTGTCTGGAGGTAGCTTTAGGTCAGTCTTAAAGTGTATTTTTTGTCGGAGTTCGGCTGCCTTTTTTTTTCTAATTTTTAATTTTCTGTGCTATCAGCTGTTGTGTGTTATAGTTGCATGCAATGCTTTTTAACCACCTTTGTTTTCTTTTATTGATGATGAACTGTTTCTTGTCGTTTTCTTTTCACTGAATCCAGCATCAGGACGGAATTTCGACCATTTTTCATGTGTTTGATCCACGTCTTTCTACATTGACCGTTAGAATGGCTTAGGAGGTCACGTGTATAGAATTACTATATAGAGAAAGAGGAATAGCTTGTTTTGTAGCATATTTTGTTTCAATTTACTGTGTAATCAGACGTACGGATCATCAACATTTAGTATCTTATTATAAATTGGCCGAGTTAAGGCTCATCCAATGAAGTAGGTTATTTCTTCTATATTTGATATGGCATCAAAGCTTGGGGCTTTTAAACATTGGAAGAAAATTTTTCATCTGCTCTTCAAATCAATTTTTGATCCTTTGATCTTATTACATATGATTGTTATTTACGTCGGACTTGCTATTGACATAATATTGCATTTTTGTTCACACATTTGCCTCCATTGTTCAAAGATCTGCTTCCATCTCCTTATGTCATTCTCAGAAGCATCATTAGAACAAGAAGTCACAACTTTTAGCCGAGTTAGCAATTTCCATACCCAATGTTTGCCTCTTCTTGTTTGGTTATGTTTGTTTTCTTTATCCTTTTATGCTTTTTCTAATATATTTAAAATTGTTGCTGGACATTCCAAGGAAGTCTTTACAGAAACATCTCAAGCCCTGCAGAGTATTCAGGCAGCCTAGATGTTGAATGGGAAGAATTATTTGAGGTGGTCCCAATTTATTAATGCACATTTAAAGGAAAGAGGAAAGCTCTCACAAGGATGGGATTGAAAAAGGAAACCTGCATGTTTTTGCCTACGTTTAAGGAGATTTGGGATGTTGGTTGATAGATACATTCCAAGGCATATGATGACGTGGTGCATATGAACTAAAACAAAGTCGTGGAATATATGATAAAGTAAGTCAGTAAAATTATTGCACGACTTTTTTGTAGAACCCATGCAAGGATTTCACCAATAGTGATGTATTAAAGTCAAGCGTTTTGAAGATACCATAGTCTTGAAGAATTAAATTGAAAAGGTTTGAGCCTACAACTTTCTTGCAGAGCTTAATGTTGATTGTTGTCAAGTCAGAGTTCAAATTATTGATGAAGGTCGCCTGACCTCAATGAATGAAATCATCTCTTTGATTTATGCTGAGGACATTCTTAGATGGGTTTTGTTTGAACCGTTAGTGGATGGAACTATAATGGTACTCGATGTACTTATAGCAGAAAATTGAAGACATATAAAAGAAAAAATGTTAGAATTTATTTGAAAACTAACCAGGGAGGCAATCAATGAAGAGGACAACAATGAAATTAAGGTCGAACAAATTTATTACAAACAATAACCATTTGAGTCAGTAAAAACATTTTGTTCTAGGAAAATTTAAAAGGGGTGGTTGTTGAAAGTTCAAAATGATTTGAAGTATCATCGGAGAAGCCCATTGGGGCATGATCTTGTAGTCCGATGTAAGTTCTCAAATTTTGAAGAGCTAAAATATTTGATATGAATGTATTAAGATTTTGTAGGTTATCGACCCAAACAACGCTCATCACATTTCTAACATTTCTCTAAATTTTACATGCACTTTGCCCAATTAGTAGGAAAATAGATGTTGGAGATGGTTTCTTCACCGATAGAGTTGGCTTAGGGGATAACCATATCAATCAATCTTCTAATCTTAATAATGTGTTTATTGTTCTTTTATTATCCAACAATTTGATGTCCACATGGTAACTCATTCTTGATACGAATTGTAATGCCCTTTTTCGCCTTTCCTACTCTATATTTCAAGACCCTGATTTAGAGGAGATGATATGATTTTCTAATGAAGCAGACAAGTCATACTATTTGGAAATGATTCACAAAAATCAAATATTAGTAGGAATAAAGGTTTTTATGTTAATTTCTTATCATCGTTAGGAATAGACGTGAACATTCCATTAAGGTCATTGTATTGGTATTGATTCGTAAGGAAAACTTAGTAATATTTCTCTAAAGCCTAGGAAGATACAACATTGCTAGCCATGCCTTGTTGAGGATGATTTTATTAAAGAGATTGTTGTACATGCATTTTTCTTTTGATCTTTTGAGGATATTTTAGATGCAAAAAAAAAAAAAGGATTTACAACTGTATTATTAATTCACATCTTTTGCTTTTGTACTTGAATATGAATATATTTTAGAAGATGTCCTTGAACCAGATCTTCTATAATTTGAAACTAAAACTAAGCCTAGGATCTAATCTAAATCTAAACATTCAGTTGGAATTCAAAATACTTTCGAATATGAAAATGAACGAGTTACAACTACCAAGTTGAAATTGATTTTAGTTTTGGTTTCTGATTTCTTGATTCTCAAATTCATAGAAAGAACCTTATAGAAAGAGTTATGTTACAAATAATATTCAGGGAGTTTGTCAATTATGAAAGCTTTAAATGAAAGATGAAACTTAAACTTCATCTACATAGTCAATCTTAATGGTAAATAAATCATCACAACTATTTTATAATCCACTGGAGTTATTTTTATTTTTTATTTTCAAAGATCGTGTTTGTCTGTATAAGCATATCATATTTGTGTGTTTTTTGTACTTGCATATGTTTTAATAATTTCAGTTTTAGGAATTGTTTGTAGGTCGCTATTAGTATTTTTTTTAAGATGTGTATCAATCTTTCAGCTTTTCATTTTTCGTCTGATATAATTTGCATTATTTGTATGAACTACATGAGGATATTTCTAGAAAATTGACTACGAACGTTGACATTCATAAGCTTTTGACTGGCATTAACAGGAGTTATGTGGAGTTTAAACCCAGCAAGAAATCATTAGTGCCTTTGAATTCAGAAGTCTTCCCTCATGACCTTTTAGAAATTAAATACGAGGCAATTAAGGCTATTGAAATTTTTGGAGTACATTATAACTAATCTTTGTAAGCTGAAAATTCCAAGAAATCATGGCATTAATAATTTGGTTATTTGCGTTTGGCTTAACCTTATTTTATGAGTTCGTTACCAATTTCTTCATTCTTATCTATCTTCATCTTTTTCTTTCTTGTGAATCTATATCAAATCCTTCGGTAGATAATTTTATATAGTTTGTTAATTTGGTTAAAATAGATAATGAGATTGTTTCCTTTAGTGATGGTAAGTTCTAGAGATATTGAATATATTGATGTGATAGATCTATTAATAATGAGTAATGGATTACTTTGCGATAAGCATAAAATTTAGATGGTGATTTGCTTAATGAATATCAGAAGCTCTATTTATTAGAGTTGAATTGTTTGAAGTTAGGGTGCAGATTGATGCAGGTATGTAGTTGTTACTTTGGTTTACCTTTTCTAGGCCAGTAGTAGCTATTTCAAGATTGCAGCAACATATATGTTTCATCTATTCTAGTGAGTAGTGCTATAGTTTTGTTTCAGATATCCATACTTACAATTATTTTTGCAGGTAGGGATTTTGTAGGTATTATTAATAAGTTGTGTCGGAGAAAGATGTCATATTTTGTTCTATTTGGTGCCTGTAAAATGGATGTCACACTTAACTTTGAGATTTATATTTCAAGATTTCCTCTTGTGATGCGGCTCTTGCTTATAGGAAAAAAGCTTATGTTTCTATCTTAAATTCTTGTTTTTTTTAATCAGATTTAATTGTTAACTTGAAAGTTATTTAGAAATAGTCTATAAACTGATGTTCCATGATACAGAAATTATTAAATTTGATTAAGTAAAATGTTTCTTCCAATCTTTAATCTAATGTGTGCAAGTTGAATATGTGATTCCTTCAAGTGCAATGCAAGTGTGAATATCCAATTCTAGGGGATGTCATTTTCTTTTATTGACATGAGGCTTGATTTTATTATTGTGATAAACCTATTTTGTTATTGATTAAATTATATTTCTGATTTCATTTATCATATTTATAGTAATTTTATTTATAAACGCTTGCTGATTTTGTGTGGTTCAAATTTTCTGTTGATTTCTTCGGATCTACTTGATCATTATATATCGTTTGAGTCCTAATTTTCATATTTATTATGGACAATTAACGAAAGCAAGTTGTTAATTATTTAATAGTTTGTGATATGTGGATACTAAATTCCTTTGTGTGATTCACATATGTATCACCATTTTAATTGTATTAGGAAGCTCTAATCCTGAATTGACCTGCATCAACATTTATCATTAGTTATTATTAGTAGTTTTGTGAAGTTTAGAAGCCAATTTGAGTTCTACAATTGAGACATGATGAAGATGAAATCTAATTGATTGACATGGATATAACAAATGCAACAAAGAACAGCTTTTCTTTGATGGCTTGGAATTCCCATTGGAGGAAGACACATTTACACTATAGCAATAGCTGAGTAGCATGAAGATTGGTCTTGGATGACAAATTTGGAGATAAAATAGATAGATGAGAGTAGAAGACAATCTCGGTCTCGAGCAAAGAATGCTTGCATGAAGGAACCACAATCTTTATTTATGATGAGATTCAAATAGCTTATAGTTTAGTGGAACTCAATGTTCTTATTTTAAAAACGAGGGATGGATTGAATCATCATTTTCTAGATATTGGCAGAGGATTGAATTTGAGGGATCCCATCTTGTTGCTTTTATGTAAAATTTTTGGTCATAAATTCTCTTATTGTTTCAAGTCTCATTTAGAGCTAAGAAAATTTATAAGGCACAAGAGGTACAACCAAATGTTCAGATTCACCCTCCTACCCTTTTGGTGGGTGATTCCCGTCCACAAAATCAGGTTTGCACTCAGAATTGAGAATCAATTCTGAGCTCTCTTCTGAAAACTAGAGGTTATTGCGCTTGTCTTGATCATCTCCTTTGGGCTGTCAGCCCTATGGAGATCTGTTGGTATTATCATTGAGATAGATCCTCTTGTTATTGAAACACCTTGGCTCCAGCCTTGTGATTCCTATGTGAACATTCAATTTGTTGGTACTTAGACTAATAGGATGCTTCAAATTCTATTTGCTTGTTCAAATACGAATTGAGAAAAAAAAATTTCCATCGCCTCTCCCTTCTGTTCAGGAGGCTTCTAGAAAAGTCGGCTCAAATGAGTTTATTTTTTTTAAATGATTGATAGGATGCTGCATCCATTGCCTTCATGTTATCTTTTTCCAGTGTTTTGTATTTTTATTCTTTTCTAATAAGTCTTCATAATTGCCCTTTCACTCATAATATAATTTTCTATTAAAAAAATATCTTATGCAAAATCTATGCCAACAAAATATATAATTGTCATTTGCACATTTATTAATAATGATCCCAGCAATTCAAACGTTTGACATCTACTAATAACATACTATTAGGTAGCATATTCCACGAACCAATAGCTCAGTTTGTTGCTTAAATTTTGTGCTCTGAAATTTTGATAATTTTACGTACTTATTTTTTTTCCCCTTCATCAGCTGGGTATGTCTCTGACAATTTTTTTTCTCTAGTTTCTAACTCATAAGTAGCAGCTGCTTTTCAAGGTCTTATTTGTCTAAATTACAGAATAATTTGGTACCTGGGGAAGAATTATTTAACATCATCAAATCAGCTTGTTGTGGGCCCGAAGGTAGATTCTCTGCAGCATGTCTTAAAGGAAGCAAAAAACCTAAAGTCTTTATTTTTTTATTGATTATGATTATGAGAGGATTATTGTACCTACATAAATGCTATATTGATTCAGTTTTTTATTTTCTCAAAGTAGCCTTTTCTAAGTCAATTTTACGCTGAAAAAGCTGTCATTCAAGAGGACAGTATTTTTTTTGTTGGTTTTTTTTCCCTACCATAAAAGCAGTTAAAAAGCTGTCTCAAACATAACTGTATTTACGAAGAAAGTGCCCCCTGAAAACCTATTGGCATGTTTAGTGCTTAGCTTTTCTGGATTTATCGTGCAAATGCAGGGCTGGGTCATCATTGGTTGAACAATTTTTGTAATGACTACAGACTCTTGAACCAAGGAGGGATCACTTTGGTTCTTATGAATGCTTTCATTCAGGATGACTCTTTAGTTGATCGTCATGATCGTATTCTTATAATTGAAAGAGTAAAATTGTTCAGAAAAATGTAATCTTACCTCACAAACACCTTTCATCAATTTATCATTTACATGTAATCATCTTTTTTTTTATTTTTTATTTTTTATTTTTTTATTTTTGTGCAGATACCCAAAGCTTAATGTTATTGGTCTGCAATGTGTTAGCTCAGCTAATTCAACGGAGATACATTCTGAGGTTCTGAAAACGATCATGGAGGAGTACATCTCATTTCCAATCTTGTTATTAGACAGAAATTTAATTAAGGTAGTGTGCATATATGTTGCATTTAATGCATGTTTTTTAATTTAGAGAAGATAATGTTTGTGATTCAGATTACTTGATAAAGGAAGGTAACTTTGGAAGTTATTGGTAGTAAATAATAATAGAAATTTTATGTGGAGTTGTGTGGTTAGTTTAGAGGCTTCATTTGTCTCTATAGTTGAATCAATTGCCATTTGAGTTAATAGAGCTATTTTTGATGTGATGTTAAAGATTTGTGTGCTATGTGGTGTAAGTATGTGTGTGTAAGTGGAAGTTTAGGTGTGAGATATGTAAATACATAAGAATTGTGTGCTATGCATGTAAACACCCCTAACCTTTTTAGCTATCACCCGGTTCAGGGCATTAGGGCATAATTAATAGTTAGAACTGTGATAGGAGTTAGCAGCATTTGAAGGGGTGTTCTAACCAATTTTGAGTCTTCTTTGTTCGTTTCTTCAGCAATCCATTTTCAAGGAACTTTGACAGGGATTTATAGAATGCAATAATCATGCCTTCTCAGTTTTTCATCTCCTTGAAAGCAGACTTGATCCTAATTCACACCAGTCCTGTTCATATTCAGGTGATAGATTCTGCTGTCTACTTGTTCTTTGAAGGTGCTCCAGGTCATGCTTTCTGCATTAAGACAGATACAGAGCTGGGCTCCATAAAGAAAGGTAGTTGTTTAACTCTTTATTATTATACTTCAAATGATTTCTTGTTGAAGTTTTGCACAAGATAGAAGTCATTGCATAAATGCGAGATCATGCATGATTTCTTGTGGTTTTACTTACTGTGACTACTTTAGATTGCATCTATTTTCTAGATAAATAACTTATTATGAGTAATTTTTTATGGTTGGATATGAAAGAATTTTTTATTTATTTTACACATCTTTGAGTCCTGTTCTCTCTTTTAGTTTTTTCAATGGAACCTAGTGCAAGGCAATATGTTGCCTAATACTCTATGTGTTGTGCGCTGATAGGCACTTGCCTAAGTGAAGTGGGGTTACCATAAAAAAATAATGTTTTTTTTTTATTGTTTTGGGTATTGCACTTGGATTCAAGTGAAGTGTAGTGGGGTCTATGATATCTCATAGATTGTGTGCAATTTACCTTTTTTTATTTTGTTGAAGAGCTCTATTTACTGTGTAATAAAGATCTAATCCTTTGTCTGAAAGTAAGAATTGTTCTAACAACATTAAAACAAGATTGAAGATTCTTTTTGACCTGGTGTTATATTAATTAAAATTTATATTGATATCCCAGATATATAAGTGGTTTTTGTACGGTCGAGCAGCTATTTGATGTTTTAAATTATGATTATTGGTGGTTTGCTACATTCATTTATTTCATTGTGCTGCTAAATTCTTTAATGGAAGTTTTATTAATTTGATTTTGGTTATGCATTTATCTTCCAATTGTTTAAATGAACTCTTGCTATTTTTAGAATTTTCTATTCGAAGGGCCATTTTAATATTTTTTAGGCATCTGAAATTTTTTATCTTTCTTAGTACTGAGTAGTATTGCTGATGTTCTCTTTTAAGAGATAATTTTTCATAATTTTCTATTTATAATTGAAAAGTATTTTCTTAAGATTTGAAGATATTTTCATGATAACTTTTGAGTGTAAGACTTCTATTGTATTAGAACATCTCAGCACTCCAAATTAAATAGTTAATTTATATCATCCTAGTCAACGCCTTAATGATATAGTTTCAATAGACTGCACATCTGATGATAGCAGTTGGCACAGCCAGGTATTCCAAACCCGCCAGACTTTTGTTGTTAAAAATCATCTCAAAATTTCATCCCATCCTATCTTATTCATTATCATTGAAGGTTCAGAGTTATAACTTATACATTAGAGTATTTTTTAAAGTTGGTCAGTTCATACTTATCTAGTGTGGCATTATTAAATTCATACAATTTAGGATCTATAACGCTCAGGAAGTCATCATTTTATGTTTGAAAAGCTTTTACAAGACGAGTTTATTCTTCTCTTCAAACGCCTTTGATGATGAAGTGGACATTGTTATAATTTTTTGCTATTTATGGTACTGCAAAGAGAACTAATATGATGCTTTTCATCTGCATGTATATTTACTTAAATAGTTGCTAGATAAGACAATTATATAACTTCCTATATGCTTGGTTTTGTGAGTTAGAAGCATCCAGCTAGAAACTCCCTTGTTGTTCTTAATATTGTTATCTTTTTATTTGAACAGAATCTGTTAAAATTGCTGTTTGGTTATATTTGGTAATAAGTTACTGATGTTACTTTATGTATTTGCAATTACCTTATTTTTAATTTTATCTTCAATGTTTTTTTATTATTTCTTCATGAGATGATAAGTTTGGCTTTTAAATTGATGTTGTGTACTTTGCTTGCAGTGATTAACGAATTAAGTTTGTTACTTAAAGAAAACATGTCTGAGAAATTAAATGGAGACAGAAATCAAGATGCAGCTACTGAGGAACCATGTGCTGCCTCTGCTTTCAGAAATTTACTTCTGTACAATGCAGGTTGTTTTTTATTTTTATTTTTTTCTCTAAACATAAGATGATCTTCCAGTTTTCTAAATGATACTAAATCACATTAGGTAATAATTTTATTTTTTAGTGGTATGGTATTTTTATTGATTTGCTACAATGAACCTGAGATCTTATGGAATTGTTAAACCACCAAATGATTTTTGCTAATCTAATAATATATTTTTTTTATCTATGGAAATTTATTGACGAATTAAATATGTATGATTTTGGATATGCAATTAAATGGTATGACTTTTTTGTTTTTCTTTTTTAAATTGTCACGTTGAATCAACAAATCTTTTCTATATGGAACTAGAATGGATGCTATTATGTTTTTCTTATTTTGTTGGACTATTAATTTGGAAAATTGATTGTAATGATCCTCTTACATGCCTTTATTTGAGCTTTTAGGATCCTTATCTGTGGATGAAGATGGAGGTCGCATATTTTTATCTGACAGCAACCACCATAGGATTATTGTTACTGATTGTGCTGGGAGAATTCTAGATTCGGTAAGAAATATTTCTTTAATATTCCAAATGATACATGACACTATTATTATTTGGAAGATTACATGCCAATCATTTCCTTTGTATTTACATATCTAGCACCTATCTTCAACTTTTACATACATACAACCTTATCCATGGATGAAACGGTGAATTTCACTTTTTAAAAGTTAAAATGGAGGTTTTTTTTGTGATATGAAAGATTTGTGCGGTATGAATGTAAAAACAATGTTTAGGTGTTAGATATGTAAATACGTAGAAATTGGGTGGTATGTATTTAAATGCCCCATATTTTTTTAATGAAAAGTTTGGGAAGTTGGTTTATGAAGCTTCATTTGCTGAAGGTTTTTGGCGGTATCAGTAATTCTGATCTCCATGCCAATTTTAAATTCAATTTTAGTTTAAAATATTGATACTTTAAACGAGCATATATCATTTATATTTAAAAGAATTTGTGGCAGTGACTTGTTAGATGTGTCATGCAAGAAACACTTAGGCTTAATATAATGCAAGATCTTTTTATCATGTAATATTTCTCTTTTACTATTTAGCATACATGAAAAATATAGGATTTATCGAACAAACATCTAGTTTTCATTAAATTTTTCTTGTAATCTGATGGCACAGATTAAGACCGCACTCTATGGAAAAATAATCAAAACATGCCAATTTGAAGCACACTTTAAATTAGCTGAAGCAAAAACTCTCTCTTTGTTGAGTTATTATCTGAATATTGTATTTGATTTTGACGATGCTTTTAATTGTTAGAAAAAAGAATAAAAAAGAGTAACATTTTATGAATCCTGAGTATTGGGTTAAATTATTGCAAATTTCCTTTAATATTACTTTTATATGGTTTATATCTGATGGAATGTAGAATTTTGATTCAATGTTTCAATAACTTTTGAATATTTAATTTCGTTAAGTTGGTTTAGCTAATGATTATGTGGGGGATAAAATGTTGTTATGATTTTTGCATGAGAACACGATTGACTAGCATTCTTACAAGATTATCACAATATTGTTAAGTTACTGTAGCCAACTTATAAGTCGACGCCTAGGTATAACGTGCTAATGTTCTTGGGATCTATAAAATTGTTGAATGGATCTTAATGTGGATATAACTTGTCAGAGTCCATCTGTAATGCAAATACAATGAAAATGATGTTATAAACTTATGTTCAATTATCTGCTGTAAACAATGGCAAAGGATAAATTTTTAAGTGGCGATAAGCTTGAATTGTGAAATATTTTTGTTTGATGGTTTATTTAGACAAGTTTTGAGTGTAATCTGGATTTTTGTTTGTGTAGAATATAATGATTTATCATTTGCATTTAGCTTAAGTATGAAGTTGCTGATGATTATTTAGTCATGCAAATGATCACTAAAGAAATTTTAAAGCATCATAGCCCATTATTTATTGGATTGCTATTAAAAAAATTTGGGGATACATAAGATTAATGAAGAATTTTGAGAACCATAATTCTTCTTAAGAAGAATTTTCCTAAATATATTTTATATAAATGAGTTAATCTTTGATAAATTTTGTTTTATAGATTGGCTCTTCCCCAGGACTTGTGGATGCTGATTTTGAATCAGCGAAGTTATGCCGTCCAGCTGCATCATTTTATAATGTTTCTGATGGGTGCTTGTACTTTGTGGATTCTGAGGTACATGCTATTCCCGAATTTATCATTTTCAGCAAAATGTTATTCCTGATTTGTCTCTTAAATGGGATCCATTAGAGGCGGTGACTACAATTTTTTTTTTAATTGAATAATCAACCTGCAAAATAATTTCTGTATGAGTAACATCAGCAAAAAAAACTACTAAAAATTAACTAACCTTCTGCTGTGATCAGGATTTATCCAATTCTCTGTAAGCTTATAACATGTTATGCATATTTATGGCCATACCCTATTTTTCAACTGCTCCTTTTTTAACATAGCATCGGTCCCCTTTATTTTGTGGTTGATTTAATTTGAAATTAAATGAATGGCTTTTTGTTTTTATGGTTGAAGTTTACCCAATTCATATAAAAATCTATGAATATGTTGTTTAAATAATCTAGAAATTTTCCAATCGTTTGAATTTGGGAAAAGAATTATGAAAGGTGGTAGTACATATATTTATTTTGATAATTTTTAATAAACTGAGAGAAGTTCAAATTAGAGCACTATGCTTTTTATCATATTGTAGATTAACATCAAATAAATTTTAACTTAAATTTGAATATCTTATTTGTGGGGAAAAAGTTACATGTGTACCTTTTTCATGGAATATATTAAGGGTCTGGGGACAACTTCAGCTTATATGATTTTGAATTTCAAATTTATCATTTAATTCCCCCTTTAAGCTTTTCCAATTAAATTGCTGCCGCTTAGTGAAATTATTCAATTCCCCGCCTATTACTTCATATAACGGCTCTCGAGCCCTGCTCTTATTCTTAGAGGGACGCTCGTCTTCTTCCTCCTGGATGGCCACATTTCGACTTCATCCTCCTTGCACGAAGCCGCTTAGCTCTCTTGCCTACTTCGCCTCCCAGATTCTGAAGCTCCTCGCTGCACCGAAGAAGCTCACCCCGCACGCCTGCTCGCCTGCTCGCCTTTGCGATTTAGCTCTGCGAACCACACTCCATATTCCTCGCCTCTCGATCCAACGCCTGCTCTCCTCCTCATTTGATTCCTCCCCTATCGATCCTGCTTCTTCTCGCTCGATCGAAGCCAAAGAAACCTTCTCTCCACTGCCCCGAAGCATTCGCCCCTCACCTGCTCCTTTCGATCCCGCTTCCTTCTTCCTCGCTCGTTCGAAGCCAGCCATAGACCCCCGCCTTCCTCTCTGCATCGAAGACCCCCCGCTCAGCTCGCCTCACCTCTCTGCATCCGACGCCTCCTCTCCTCCCTGGACCAAAGACTGAAGCTCCGCTCGCCTCCCTCGCCTCCCTCTACCTCTCCCGCTTGGCTTCGTCTCTTTCCTCCTCGCCAAAACCCTTGACTGTTTCCCTCTCCTCACTCGACTCCTCCCAAAACGCTTGATTCCTTCTCCATCTCACGACGAGTCTCGACCGCTCAAACCCGCACGCCTCTCCTCGACACCGAGTTTCGACAGCTCAATCCAGCTCGCCTGCTTCGCCTTTCTAGACACTTAAAGCTTCGCTCCATTCTCTCAGCTCACGTCCTGCCCTCTGCGCCGAAACCCCCACCGGTAAGTTTGCTGATGGAAAATTGAAATTGTGGGGTGAACTGAAATTTGGAAGAAGAAAGTAAGAAGCTAAAAGAAGAAAGTGAGAAGCTAAGTGGAGAATTTGATATTTCAAGCTTTCCATCAATACATAATCAATATATTCTCAGCTTATTTGTTTCATACTCAATAAACTCTGCTTCTCATCTTTAAACTGAATGAATCTGAATTAGCTGCAACTATCCTGAAATTTAGAAGGAAGGTTTACATACATGACACTTAATTATTTGTTATTTATCATGTAACATCTAAACCTTAATTTTTACATGTATGCCGCCAATCCTATGCATGAAGAGGAATACTTCAGGTTTTTTTTTTTTCTTTTTTAAGTTCAAATTTTTGTATTTTTGATGTGACATGAAGCATTCGGTGTTATAAATGTAAAGTATAGTGTAAGTGTAAGACATGTAAATGAATAGGAATGGGGTCATATATTTATTTCTTTTTTTAGTGGGTCATGGGATGGCTTGGATTGGCGTATGGATTAAATCCTAATAAAGCAGAGACTTAAGGTCTTGTAGGTTATAATTATGTGGTTCTCATGGGATTACAGTTATTCTATACCATAATTGATTGCAAAAATATTAAAGCTCTTTCTTCCTATTATGTCTATTTGCATGAAGTGTAGGTGGTGTATTTTGGTATTTTTGATGTGACGTGAAGTATTGGGTGTTATAAATGTAAAGTATAGTGTGAGTGTAAGATATGTAAATGAATAGGAATGGGGTCATATATTTATTTCTTATTTTAGTGGGTCATGGGATGGCTTAGATTGGCGTATGGCTTAAATCCTAATAAAGCAGAGCACCTTAAAAGTTCTGTAGGCTATAATTATGTGGTTCTCATGGGATTATGGTTATTCTATACCATAATTGATTGCAGAAATATTAAAGCTCTTTCTTCCTATTCTGTCTATTTGCATGAAGTAAGTGTAGGTGGTGTATGACTTATTAAGTTGTATGGACGATTCAAGAGCATGACAAGAGGAATAGTGGTCTGATAAAATAAAATATAGATATATACATAGATTTGGATATTTGGAGAACCGGTCCAATAATTGGCTCCCTTTTCGGTGGTGTTGAGCATTCTATGGTGATGAGTTTTTTTTTTTTTTTTTGAAAGAAAAGCCTTCAAGTCTCCATATCTGTAGGAATACCCAAAGACTTTCATTTTTGATATAAATTGATTGGAGAATTCTAATAAGCAATGGAAGTAGAACGATTGAATCATATACATCACAGGATTGTTGCTCACACCTTGCACATATGAACGGACTGAATCAAAAAAACAATGCACAGTGATGATAGCAAGTGGGGAATTTACATACATGTTATCTGATTCTTATATATATTTATGTATCTAACACCTATGTTTCATGTTTACAAATAAAATACCCAAACTTAAATTTGTTTGCCTATACACGACCTTATTAATGCGCAAAAAGTTTACATCTCATATTTTAACAGTTTCTTTGATATGATAAGAAAGATTTTAATGGTATATAAGAATTTCAATTCTTACATATTCACATATCTAACATAAGCTATTGTCATACACAAAATCAAGGTGACATGCATGTTGAAATTGAGAGTTTAAGTGTTAGAAATGTAAATGCATAGGAATTGAGGGGAATATGTATGTGAACCTTCCTAATATTCTTTGATGCTCTCCTTGATGTCAATTGTGCACCAGTTAAATACTGATTTGGGGAGTCAGGTGCTTATTTGTGCTTCATAAGTGCTATCGGGGCCTTAAATAAGCCATAGAAAGCTGCTGTCTAGGTTTGGGAGAGTTGTTTGGAACTGTTTGGAAGCTTAGGATGGTTGTTTGGTGCTGTTCGGAAGCTTAGGATTGCTGTTTGGAGTTGTTTGGAGGCTTAAAACTGTTGTTTGGTGCCAGGAAGTGCTGTTTGGAAGGTTAAAGTTGCTGCTTGGTGATTAATAGTCGTTGTTGGGAGTCTCTAGTTGTTGTCCGGGGCCGTAGGAGGTCGTAGGATCACCTACACACTTGCTAGTTGTTGTTATGACTTGTTCTGTTGTTTACTGTTTTCTTCTTTTCTCTGCAATTTATTTAAATTCTCTGTAAATTTTATTATGCTTTGTGAGCTAAACATGCAACAGAGATAACAACAGCAGATATGCCACGTACACAAGTACATTTTATTTGTTGTTGTTTTACCATTACGATTTACTTTTGCTTTAACACATTATGCAGATACTGATTATAATTTTATTTTCAAAACAAAATATTTTTTAAAAAAATTAAACAACGTTTTCAAAAAAGAAAAATAAAAAAAAATAACACGTCCTTTTCAATTTATGGGAGTCCCTCGGAGGAGGTAACCCGCGGTTGCTAACGAGTTGCTAACGAGATCTCCCTGAGATCTCCCTGATTTAAATGAGTTTCACAACTCGTTTAAACTAAGTAAGTTCAAAAGAAAATAGTGATACCGAAATTAGGGAATCGTGGGATATTAACCGGTGTCGCTCTAATCAACTTTAACCCCCTATAATGACAACAAAACTAAACCTTGAAACACACATGATACAACCTTTTGAATCTTAAACTTTAGGACTGCTATTTCGATGAGGAGCTTGGAGCATTTTCAGGGGCAGCGCAACAAGATGCTTGGAGCGGTCTACAAGTGGAGGTGGTCGTCATCCTACAACAACAAAACAAGTCTACAACAACTGAACTCTCTCCTTAGTTTAAATAATCTAAATAGCACTCATAGGACTTTGAGGTAACTCGCCCAGCGCGACGTAAATCCTCATACCTTCTTTAGGCTCTTGCACAACCATGTTGTGTAGCGTAAGTCCTAATTCACCTTAGGTTTCAAGGTTGTCGTCCGGTATGATGTAAACCCTCCTATCTCTGCGGGTTATTTGCATAATCGGATATTATGCAAATGTAAGTCCTAAATAATAAAATTGTCAGGATTAAACACTTAAATAACATCGTCTCCAAAACTCAGCCACACATGAAGATAGTTTGGGAAGTCACTAAGGTTTCTCTTCAGGATCCGTGATGTCCCCCACCTTTTAATTTCTTTGGATTTTTGAAAATAATTGTTCCTGTTTGAGCAACTCCCACTTGCCTTTTCCACGTTCTACTGTAAAGACCTAAACCTCGAATTCTTGAAAACTAGTACCTTTGATCATTATCGAGAGTTTTCTCTCAAGTCACTCCAGTCATCTGGGATTTAGGGTTTGCCTTTATAGGGAACTTGAAACCTATGTAAAATAAACCCTATTTATTCTTTGTATTAAATATGAGAATTTGTCGGTCACACATAAAAAATTTGCAGACCAAACGGATGTCACAAATCTCTTAGTTTGCAGAATTGGGTCTATTGTCGAGGTATACATCTTTCGGGAGGGTGGAGTACTCGCGGTATTTGACATAATTATGCAAACTATTTGACAAATGAGATCCATTTGGTCTCATTTTTTAAAAAAAAGTTAAAACACAACTTTCAAAACCTAAAATATATACCTCTTATATCTAAAATTAAATTTCAAAATTATTTTCAAAATCATCAAAAAGTTGACAGACAGGTCAATTACTGCCTGGGCACCCAAAAACGATGCATTTACACTTGCCATGATCCAACCATTGTGAATGTGATAAAAATAAAAAAATTGGAATGAGATTTTATCTTTACGTTTGATGTTTGAGTGACAATTTTAAAAATTGTTGAAAGAGGGTGCTTGCTTTATTGCTTGATTTGTTGATAGAAATGTTTCGGGTGCACTAGATGTAATTTCTTCAAATGAAAAATATGGTATGGAGTTTTATCATTATCTTTGATATTTGAGTGAGAATTTGAAAAATTGATGAAAGAGCGTGCTTGATTTGTAGCTATGCCCTGTATGTAATTGCCTCAAATGAAAAATATTAGATGAGGTTTTATCTTTACCTTTGATGTTTGAGTGAGAATCTGTAAAATGGCCTAACGTGGGTGCTTGATTTGTTGATAGCAATGTTTTGGGTGCCCTGTATGTAATTGTTACATGTGTAAAATGTGATATGGGGTTTTATTATTACCTTTGATGTTGAGTGAGAATTTGAAAAATGGATGAAAGAGCGTGCTTGATTTATAGATTGCAATGTTTTGGGTAATATACAACTAGAACATCCAAAACAGATGCATTTGGGCTTGCCACAATCAAACCATTGTGAATTTGTTAAAAATGAAAAGTATGGGATGAGGTTTTGTCTTTACCTTTGATGTTTGAGTGAGAATTTAAAAAATGGCTGAAAGTGGGTGCTTTATTTGTTGATAGCAATGTTTCAGATGCCCTTTATGTTGTCGTGTGGTGTTGTGGATTTGGTGGTGTGTGGCATGGAGGTGGTAATGTGTGGTGTGGAGGTGGTGTGCAGTTTGTTTAGTGTTTAGGGTGGTGATGATATTATGGCATTGTTATTTCTCTTTGAGTTATGTTGAATATTATTTATGACAAATATTTATGTTAATTAGTTCTTTTCATGCTAGTAATACAATGATTAAGACAAAATGGGTCGATTCATCTGTTATATGAGATAAAGATACAAAAATAACATTTTGCGAACTTTGCCTTAAGGAGGTCAAATTGGGAAATAGACCAACGACCTATTTCAACAAGAAGGACTGACAAAATATTATTAAAAAGTTCAATGAAAGAAGAGAGAGTACGATATGATGCAATTAAAAAACAAAGGTGATCAACTTAAAATGGATTGAAAAATCTGGAAAAAATTGAAGCGAGGATCCACTGGATTGGGTTGGGATCCGATGAAACGAACAATTGATACTTCAGAGGAATAGTGGGCAGACAAATTTGAGGTAGGTATTTATAAAATGTCCACTGCTTTTATCAAGTTTCGCCTCTGGTGTGGCAGGGTTTGGTGGCATCGCTGAAAACTTGGATGTCGAACAAACAGGTGATTCCTTCTCGCAATGACATAGACTTCAATAGGGCTTATGAAGACCATTCATATGTTCTTGCTGAGATATATGAATATCATCTTTGACAATCTTTATCGCATGTTGAAATTGATGTGCCCAAGACTTGCACTCAAGATTAGGAAGGTGCACGTGTGGGTTGTGATCCGATGAAACGAACAATTGATGTTTTAGAGGACGAGTGGGTGGACAAATTTGAGGTAAGTATTTATAAAATGTCCAATGCTTTTATCAAGTTTCGCCCCTGGTGTGGCAGGGTTTGGTGGCATCGCTGAAAACTTGGATGTCAAACAAACAGGTAATTCCTTCCCACAACGGCATAGACTTCAATAGGACTGATGAAGACCATTCACATGTTCTTGCTGAGATATATGAATATTATCTTGGACAATCTTTATCGCATGCTGAAATTGATGTGCCCAAGACTTGCACTCAAGATTAGGAAGGTACAAGCGATATGGTAAAGTTAAGGGAACAAATTATGTATGCTATAGTTGGAGGCTAAATGAAGGGAATGTCTATTTTTTGTTATTATTTAATTTGTAATGTGTGTTAAAAATATTTACTGTTTATTATATCAGTGTTTTATACAAGTCATTTATATCTTTTTTTTCTTATGCATTTAATGTTTATTATATCATTATTTTATACTAGTCATCTATTTTTTTTTCTTATGCATTTATTCTTTCCCACTTGGATGGTCGATGAGACAACCATGGGTAATAAATGTTATCTAAATATTGCATGTTTTTTTTATGAGTTTTGGTAGTCTATGATGAGACATTTGACTTTAAGGGTTCTTCTAGATGATCAATATGTCGTTATTGGTTCTTTTCACATATGAAATCTCAATAAAGGCAAACAATTTTCTCACAATTTTTCAGCGCTATGGTTTTTGTGGTTCATATGGACCGTCTTTTTTTGGTGATGTGTATATGTGACACATGAATTCAATATTAATTGGGTTAAAAACAACTAATAACTCTATTTTTTGTAAGGTTTGTCGTCTTCTTATAGCGGTATTATGTGGGTTAAAAACAACCAAAAATTTTTTTTTAATAAGGTTTGTTTTCTTCTTGTGGTGACAAATTCGTTGATTTATATACTATGTTCTCTAAGACCTTACAACTGCATAAAAATTTTAATTAATTACTTATATTATTGATTTTTACTAATGTTACATCTAATGGTAAGTGTTTTGTGTCTTTGAGCCTTCAGGAAAAATGAGTTTGATGATTTTCGGTATCTTTAAATTATTGTACTGCTAATGCGAATTACAATGTTCTCGACTTACTTAGCGATAATCACATAACCACAGGAGACGGTTTTATAGGTGTCCAAAGAGAAGAATATAAAATTGTGACTTCTTTAGGTGGGCAGATGGGTTAGAGGATTCCATCGCCGAGAGTGATCTAGGGTGGAGAGTTCCCTGGAGGACGACCTATTTTGTGATATATACTAGCTGCATTTTAAAAATAATAGTATCATATTTTAATTATTATTTTAGTAGCTTTTTTTATTTTGATAGTCATGTTATTCACTGTTTAGTGAGGTGTTTATTTTTATTTTGTAATGTTTGAACTAATTATTTGCTTTCAAGTATGTAAGGTACTAGTATAACCTGTTATGTTGAAAACAACTTTAGAGTATAGGGGCATAATGGTCATTTATCCAAAACAACTGTATACTGTTGTTTTAAACTGTAAAAATTAAACAGACATTCAGCTTATCCACAACAACTTTTAAATAAGTTGTAGCTGTCCCAAACAGACTCGTAGACTATCCAATTTTTTGATTGCGCGCGCGCACATACACACACATAAATAAAGAGAGAGAGAAACTGATTAAAAAATTAGTTTTTTAAATATAGATACAAAACCTACCTCTGCGCACATTGCTGAAAGTATATAAATTGAGCTTTTCCATAGAAGTTCTAAATTGAACATATTCTGTTTCTCACCCTTGTTTGTCCAATGCAGTTTTATATATATATATTT